ACACTACATAGAAATACCATTATTTTCTTATTATTCTCATTCTCATTCATCAATAGAACTGCTTGCTAGCCTTATATTACTCAAATCTCAAGTTGAAAATCTCCCAGTCTAAACAATTTTCTAAGTTTCTCAAACATAAAAAAAGAAAAATTACTAGGAAAAAAAAGTGATTCTGAAGGACACGTCGATTCATTTACAGTAATCACAAATATTGGAATTTAAACAGAAGCAAACTGCTTCTAGTGGCGCCATCAATTGATTAGGCATTTATAAATGATAACTAACTATTATATTCTAAAATTTATAAATTTCCAATAGAAATCCTACTGATTCATTATGTTTTGCTGCTATTGACTCAAACACTTTCGTTTTTCTATTCTATCTCTCTACATTCGTTTTCTTTTCCTATGTTATTTTTCGAGAACATACGTTCAAAGAATCTTGATAATTTTCCTGAATTTTCGGTTTTAGATCAGCATCTACTGTCCTGGGGATACCCATACTTCAGATATGACTTCTATTATAGATTCCGAGAATGTGGAGAGAATGCTGAAAAGTAAGTGTTAGTTGTGCGTAATTTTTTTCCATATTTGTTTTCTGAAAAACTCTCTAATCCTTATGTTATAGAGATCTTTCTTTATTGTATTTTTCTATTGGTATGCCCTGATCAACCCTTTTATGTGAGGCGTGAGCAAAAAAATTGACCTTCAAAAAACTTCCTCTCTTACATAATTATCAAAGGAACGTACTCACTTGGGAGAATAACTGTGACAATGTTTCTAGGCAGTTGAAGGACTAGCATAAAAAGAAGTGAGTAAATTGCCTGAAAAGGGCTTATTTCAGTGAGATTCATCGTTTGCATGGGTGCTCTTCTGCCAGGAATCGGTTGCTATTTTTGCATCGGCTACACCTACATCTTCCAGTTCGATGTGATCAAGAATTTCACACAAAGCGATCAATGTCCGGACGTTCACTCGTATGTAATTCTTATGTTCAAGTATTAGCAAATATCAAAATAATTTGAAATTAGATAACATGATTGGAATATTGAATTTCTTGTGGTGTCATCGCTAGAGTTCAGGATACTTCCGCCTGTATCCTATGCCATTGGCATTTGGGAACCACAACGGTATTTCTGGCTCTTTATCATGTTCTTACACTGTCCTCCCAGGATCTTCTTTCTAATTGTATGTTTGATCCATTTTGGAAAGGGCCAATGTCACATCTTCAAACTCATTCCAGTTGTCTATTTTTCAGCTATACCGACGAGCTTTCCGAAATGCAGCTCCTAAATCGCTGGCGTATCGACGCGTTATCTATTTTTATACAAAAACCATGTGGTTGGAACTAGTCGGACTTGTGGCAGTCAGTGTGTTGGACATAAAATGTAGCTTCGGTTGGTTGAATAAGAGCTGTTTACCTTGAAATCTTAATGAAATGAATCTTTAGTGATCCATGCGATAGCCTACTCAGTCTGGATTATCTCCTTTAATTTCAATATGCTTTTTAACACTATTCTTCATCATTTTGCTGGCATTCGTGAGACTTCGCAGAAAGTAAGTTTTGAGATGTTACTTATCTCAGAAAGTTGGGACACAATTTACTCACTAAAAGCCTCTGAAGCATGGCAAAAGGCTGTTACATGTGCGCAAATAGTATAATTAGTGCTAACGTACTGAAAATTTAGATAAAACAAATCAGGTTGACGCATTTCTAAATCTGAAGACAAATTTATGGTAAACTTGTAAGAATTTGCAAGAAACCCATTTTAACAATGGTAGTTGATGAAACATTTGAAAAATCGACAGGATTGAACATTGACCTTTCATTAGAGCATTCAGAATGCTGTAAATAAGCAGTTAAATGTGAAGATGTACAATTCAAGATATTGGGGCATTTGCAACGTTGAGCAGATAATTTTGTAACAATCACTAAACATTCATCTGAATTGTCTTGGCCTTCATATAACAAAATTTAAGATTAAAGTTGTCCTGTTGCCAGACGACATTACCGTTCAAAACTTGAAAATGTAATAAAAAGACTGAAAGTAGTAACGAGTGCAGAGGAAGCTTGTTTTGACATTGGTGTACTAAGCAAGATTTAACCAAATTTGCTTCTGTTTTAAGACTATTCTGCGATTTATTACTAATTTCTGTAAAAGTCTTGAGTTTTCATGTACACAACTATGCGTCTTCCCTCAAATTAAATACCCTTCCCTATACATTTCTTACAAGAAAAAAAAGATGTAAAGGGCGATACGGCGCTAAGCAATCTGAACAATTTTGTAACACCAGTGCAAAATCTTTCGGGTAAAGATGAAATCAGCGCACTCACTTCGAGGCATGCTCATTGCTGTGATTAAAGATTTTGTAAGGATATATGTTGGGAGAATAATTACGATAGTAAAATTATTAGGTTCGAAAATAGTAATTGATAAATATATATATATATATATATGTATATGTATATATATGTGTATATATAT